AACAGAGCTATAAGTGGCTGTTTTATATTGATTAATTGTTGATTGTTGATTTAAAAGGATATTACACAATTATATCAAGTCTTTCCAGACGAGATTCTCGGATCTGGACAGTTTGGGATTGTTTATGGAGGTAAGTCTATTGTCGTGTTTAGTTAGAATAGATTGGGTTATCTTTGAATAATATTTTAAAATACGTAACAAAAACCATTTTAGTTCAAACTTGTCAACGCACAAAGAAAACGATGTGCTACGACGCCATTTTGTGCAGCAAAGCATTATGGTAGTTGTAGTCCTCGTACTTTTTTGTCTGATAAAACAGTCCCTCGGAAATGTTTTAGCTTTTTCTTAGTCAAAATAGATGTTGTTTTGCCGTTTCTACAAAAAAAGGGTAAATTAATGTGAGAAATTAATGTGACATTTTAGGGTCTATAATAAGCTTGAGGACTACAACTACCATCATGCTCTGCTGCACAAAATGGCGTCTCTGTACATGCCATGTATTCATTCTAAAATCGCGACAGTGTTATCCTTTTGCTCTAACCTTCAAAATCCTCCTTGTCCTCATAGGTGTCCATCGTGAAAGTGGTCGCGAGGTTGCAGTTAAAGTTATTGATAAATTACGTTTCCCTACCAAACAAGAAGCACAATTAAAGAACGAAGTAGCAATTCTTAAAGTAAGTATCAATGCCAGCTAAGTCGATATGTACCTAATTGCAAAATCGTTGTCAAAGGGGAAATAATATCACAACCTCTTACTACGTTTTCTCTAAAAAATAACGTCATAGAGCGCAAATACTAAAAGCATGAAAACGTGTAAAAAATAGTAAATGGTAAATAGTGTAGATTAGACAATAGAAAACTAGGAAATTTACAAAATGTAAAGTCCAAAACCCCGTGAAATAAATGTTACACTAATACACCTTAGTATGCTCTAATTGCATTGTTTTCGTTTATGTCTATTTGACTTTCATACTTTAATAGTCAACTTTTGTTTCACGGGTTTAATGACTTCACTAGAATTCAGTGGAATAAGTTACTGTTTTGCAATGTAATGGTTTATGTGTACCTTTTGAAATGAATCGTTTATTTACAGCAATTAGATCATCCTGGTATGGTGACTTTGGAACAAATGTTTGAAACACCTGAAAGGGTAAGTAATAAAAACATAAACAGTTATTGGATAAGGCTAAGCATGATATGGAGCATTGTAGTATATAGTTTGATCTTTGAAACTATAGCTTTTAGAATTTTTGGTATCCAACATTTTGATATCCAAAGCAATTGTTTTATTGAGCATTCAAAAATACGAAAAAATGGACTTAGTATTTGATGGTATTCCTATGCATTGCCAAGTGGTAAAACTTTGACATTGTACACAAAGGACAATATGGAAAATTGTTGACRTCAGAGCTGAAAAAATAAACAATTGTTGCACGCTGAAATCAGAAACCAATATCTGAGTAGTAATCCCTTAACAACCAGTATTGAGTATATAATGTATTTTCGATAGATAATGATATTGTTATTGCTACTCTAGGTGTTTGTTGTAATGGAGAAACTTCGAGGTGATATGTTAGAAATGATTCTGTCAAGTCCGAATGGAAAACTTGACGAAAGGTGTACAAGATTTTTAATAACACAGGTAACTGCTCATAATTTTTGTATTCACATATCGATTCATTCATTGTTCCTACTCAATCCTATCAATCTAACCATACAGCAATGATCTTTTCTACTAATGACGTTATCTTTGTTTTGCCGAAGTGCATTATGGTTGTGAAACAGTATCAAGATGGCGGACTTCTCATAAAAAATATTTTCTCATAAAACAATATATTGAAAACTAGGTTTCTTTGATATACTATCGCTATTCGTTGTTGTAAATGCTTTGAAATGACAATTCGAGTGTAAGTAAGATATACTAGAGTATACTCGAAGGCATGTTTCTTTGAAAGATGAGGGACGCTTGCTTGTTCGCAGAACATCCAGAATACTGGAACTACAACTTGGCTTCAATTTGTAGTTTCCCAGAATGCATCTCGCCGAATACTGCATTACCAGCGAGAGGATCATTCAGTTTCCCATTCATTTCCCATTTCACGCGACCATTTTTTCATTCATCCATTTATTCATCCATTCTTGTCTTGTCCTTAGATTCTTATTGCCCTAAAGTATCTCCACTCGAGAAACATCGTTCATTGYGATCTTAAGCCAGAAAATGTTTTACTATCCCCAGTCGTTAGTGAATGCGGGTAYCCAGCGGTAAGTGCYTCATACCATTTGATCATGCRCAAGAAAAAACAACAACTTAAGTGTGYATGTATATATTGTAACCATCCCACATTACTGAGTCCTGTTCGCTTTCATTGTTCTTTTTACGCTCCCACCGTACTCTTTTAATTGTTGAAATATATATTGTATAATGGCCATAAAAATAACTGAAGGAATCACAACCAACTGCAGTACCTTGCGAGCCGAAGCGCAATTTAGGTGGACACGAGAATGGCGGATTCGTGAACGTGATTCGTGAACGCGAATCGTCTTCCATCCTTTCAGTTTGGACAGAAATACCTTTAACTAAGTACCTCACAGGTACCATCTGTATGGTTGACATATTTAAACGTATATAAACAACATGAGCGCGYGCTGTATTGTGGTTCTTTAACTTAATAACGTTTTTCAGACGTCAGCTWCTTTATGTCCGTTCTTTATTTTATAGGTCAAGCTTTGTGACTTTGGGTTTGCTCGTATTATCGAAGAAAAGTCGTTTCGTCGGTCCGTTGTTGGTACGCCGGCCTATTTAGCACCAGAAGTGCTACTGAATCAACCTTACAATAGATCGCTGGATATGTGGTCAGTTGGGGTCGTCGTCTATGTTAGGTGAGAAATCTGCATTTGCTTGCTAGTTTGGTTTGATCTTTAGCAGTTACAACGGCTACGRGGATGACGGCGGAGTTTTTTGAGATAAGTTTCCTTGCTTACTGAAAATTACACCTTCTACAACTTCTTGTTATTGACAGTGCGTCAAATTTTAATATATCGCGTCGTATAGTTTTAATGAGTATAGTGCAGAATACATACTCATTTGCACGCAGACAAATTGCTGTTGTTTTTTTTATTTTTTCATTTCCGTCCTGGTTCTCGTCGTGTATGCTGTTATTGCAACCTTTAAGGTCCATTTTTCTCTCTTTGCAGTTTAAGTGGTACATTTCCGTTCAATGAAGAAGAAGATATTCAAGACCAAATTCACAATGCAGCGTTTATGTATCCTCCCGATCCATGGCAAGACATATCACGTGATGGTAAGTTGCTACGCAACGACTGTTTAGTAGCGCGTCGTGGCGAATTTTACCATCTCGCTGAATCATCGATTCTGATTYGATTACCTCAATATACATTTCAATTGACGACTATGAAGAATKGCGCGATACGTCACAGTCGCCGACCAGGGCACTGGRGACGAATCACTAAAGCGAGGTCTCAAAGGCCAGCCCCCGTATAGTTAACTTMATTGGTGTCATGCAAGAATGTTTTGTTATAAATAACATACCAATACATATCTTTCAAACTTTTGTACACTTCATACTTGCGATCTTCGTGGTGATTTCTCAATGTAAAGCCTTTGAGGTCTCGTTTYCATGAAAGTCCCCCGATATTGTGAACTTCCGCCATTTTTGAAAGTTGTGTTTTACTATCACACCACATAATACTATCAATTTCTACCGCTTTTTTCGTGCAATATTGTGCAAGCATCGCATGTTATAGTCTCCTCTCGCAGCCGTTACGAGGCTCGTTCTCAGGTCACTCTAAGGGGAGAGTACTACGCATGTTAACACTTTACAATGGATTTTTTTTAATGATGACTGTAACCTTTGTTTCCAGCCATCAATTTAATCAGTAATTTGCTCCAAGTCAAACAGAGAAGCAGATACACCTGTGATAAATGTCTTATTCATCCTTGGTTACAGGTAAGATTTATTTATTTCTTATCTAAGTATAAWAATGCCCTCTTTAAGCACCCTGTGGTTTTATTTCGTTCGTTAATACAGTCTCTCGAGAAAATGTACCTTTATTAAATTGCATCACTACAGCTCTCTGGGCCTTTAGTCGACTAAATGACCTCGAGAACTCTATCCAGTGTTGTTCTCTCACTATATAGTCGATTGACAAAAGATTGTCGTCGACCGGTTTTCACGAAACGCGACTAGCCCGAACTGGTTTCTGGAAAAAATCAATGAACTGGCAATTTAGAGATTTGAACGCCTTTGTGATTGGAAGAACTGACACATAATGTGTGACAAAAATTTCCAAATGACGGGAATTTAATTTGAATGCATCCAGTGATGTTGATTTTTGCATCATTTTTTGCATCATTTTTGGGGAATACAACGTTCAATATTACTCATCTACAAACACACTGCTGAAGGATAATTTCTCAAGATTAAACAACGTTCTTCGAGCTCTAAAAAAGAGAATAAACGGCTAAACAAATTTACACTATACTGGAAGGCGTTGTTTATGCCATTTCATTAATTTTTACCCAGAAACCTGTTCGCGTTGGTCACGTGCTACGAAGTCCGGTTGACGACAACCTTTTGTTAATCGACTATATATGGACTCGGTGCCTTTTACTCCCTTCCCAGTCCTTCCCTCCTCCTCTGCTTACCACAGGTAATCCAAAACAGCAAGTTCAGTTATTGAAGTGGTAATTCAGAACATCACGTCTGTTTGTGCCTTGCGCGCCCCCGTTTTCACTCGTCAGTGATTGAACCTTAGCTATCCCGAGTTTAATACGCTATATTTGTCATGCACAGAACTATCAAACGTGGCTTGATTTACGGAGCATGGAGCGAGTGATGGGTTTCCGGTACTTGACACATGTCAGTGACGACGCACATTGGCAGGCCTACGGTGAACAACTKCGTAACGCCTCGAGACAGCAGCGTGACCCGCGGGATGGTAGCGGGAATTCCCGACAATCTAACAATCGATTCTTTCCYCCAACACAAACAAATGAGCGAAGGCTTCAGCCCAGTATTAGTTTCTTGTAAATTTCCMAGAATCATACCTCGAATCTTTTATGAGAGTTTTAAGAATCAATAGCAATTAACCCATAATGCAATTCAAGCACGGTCAAGATTTTTTAATCATATGCACACATCTCATATCTCGAATCTCATATTGCACGAATKAATGCGCACAGGGGAGGGGTGAAAAGTTTATTACTGAATGATCCCGGCTCGGACTGAAAAGCTTTCGAATTGAAGTACGACCGTGAAGGGCATTAGGAAAAAAATGTCTTGGTAATTTTAAAAGACGAGAACGTTGTAGCTTCGAATTGAATTCGCGGGCCACTTCACTTTTGGTAGACAATAAGCCTTTCTTTTAGTGACAATTTATAGAGCGACATCATCTTTATAAAAGGTTTAAACCAATCGAATGTGATCTTTTGTGTCTCGGGATAGAACCCAWCGCTGTTCTTAAGTCGTTAGAAGTCCTTGSACTATTTCTGTCGGAATAATCCGTCAAGTCCGTTTTCGTGTTGTTTTTTTTTTAGATAGAAAGATATTGAGTTACTTGAGTYTTTTTACAGAAAATAGCATCAATACAAAATGGATTTGAAGGAATAATTTAATGGACTTAAAGAATGCAAAGACTTTATTTCCCAACATATTTTGTTCTGTAATATGGCGATACACAAATACTTTATATTGCTATAAAGCTAAGATTACAGGAATATAGATTGATCGCCAAGCAAGCAACCTTGATAGCAAAAAACAAAGTTCTCTCGATTTTTAACCACAATCCTTCACGGCCCTCAATTGATTTTTTTTTTCTAACGGCGTTTTTAAATCGATGTACATTGTACGATTGAAATCTAAGCAAGAAAAATAATTGATTTCCTCTCATTTATCCGTTTTTATTTCGTAATATTTATTGTAAGTGGACAATTGTATAGATGTACAGGGAACTCTTTTCACTTTAACTTAAGCTTCAAAACTCAGAGTATTTTGTAGGAAGTGTATTTTATAGGTGTGTCCAGCATTTAAGGAGAAAAAAAACACCCTTTTTCCTTTAGTTTTAGCTCCAAGTCGCAGATAACAATGTGTAAATTGCTTTTTCATTTACAAAATTGTCTTTGTAATCGCCTAGACAAGTTTGCCTGGATTTCATGAATTTGTATATGTGTGAATATGAAGAGCACACGTGACTATAGACAGAAATAAAACAATGGCAATGACGGCATTTTCTACCGCAAAGTGTTGGTAGATTGAAATAATCCTTCGAATCCGTTTCTTTGACTTCTTAGTAGAAACGGCATAACTAACTTGTATTCTTGTAAAGAAAATACAAAAATAAAAATTGACTTATTTCCCATCATTGTTCTAGAAAATGCCGTTGCTGCACATGGCTAATTTGAAACTTCTTAAGTGGCTGTTTGTATTGATGTGTTTACTATTGTCTAGAGCGTTGGCGCCAGAAGTTTACCGGTATTAATTCCCTGAAACAAAATCATGTTACAGAGCGATTGAAATATACGTTGATACCGGAAATGGTCCATTAAAAWAGCAAGGAATTGCTAGGAATTAGTACAAATCTTGCATTAAAAAACTTGATTTTAATCAAGGTGCCACATCGCAAAAACTTGTGAATAACCTTGTCACTACGTCATGTTGGTTTCGGCGATGTGAATCATGGAATTGAGCAAAAAATTAAAATGGCGGATGCTTTATAACATAACTTATAGCGGCTGCCGAAGGCAGGAGTGGGGGGTTTGGGGTATTCTCCCCGAAAAATTTTGACATCTTACTAGTAACTCTCGGAGATGTCATTTCCAGCGTTTTGAGTTTTGGGTTTTTTAATTTTTGTATAATCTTGTGTGCATTTGCATACTACATGAGGCTAACTGAACGGAGAAAAACGTGTAATAAGTTACTTTTAAAAATTTTTCATGCAAGGAAAAGTAAACTAATACGAAAACAGCTAGCCTTGGGGGGCGGGGGTTTCAATTGACTAGTGCATTATGCGGCCTACAACAATCCTTATGATCCTTATAACGGGGCTATTAAGCAATTGTTTTGAATCCCTACAACAGTTGTAGCCATGTCAGGATGACTTACGCATGCTGCATAGACCTTTCTCTGAAACACAAAGTTATGGTGTATTGTGGTCCAGCTTCAGTACAAACAACGCCATATTTGGCTGCGTGAATAAAATATGTTTGTACCGAACTAGACCATGCAATGTAAAATGCTATCTCAGAAAAGACCTGTGCGATTGTTGGTAGCAAAAGTTGTGCCGTCTAATAGACGTCATAGACCGTATACACCATGCATTGTAGGATATGTTTGGGACAAAACATGGCGGATTTCCTTTTTGGTCCTTTTCTCTAGGATCGACTCTAGGACCTGAACCCACAATGCATCGAAAGTCAAGTAGTGAAATTTTACCCTTATCAAGGAKAGTGTAGAATAACCTTTYGAAATATGGCTGTACATTGAAGAGTAKCAGCCCGACACTCGCCKTATCAGCCCGACACGCTACAAGACTASTGTCGTCAATCCCATAATGCATCTGGTCGTAGTAGTAATTAATGCATGACGTCACCCTAAGTGAGAAGAAGTCAAAAGAGAAAAACTCAAGTTCATGTAAAAGTTCATGCGTTGCTTTTCAACTACAATGTCTAGCGGTTGACTAACATGACCATTTCCAAAAGATCAACGTATGTTAGGATACAATCACGTATGTTAGGATACAATAGCCGATATCTTGCTTGGTCGTAATGCATGCACAACGAAATTGCCCGTTCCGAAATATCGATTCCAGACCCTAAAAGGTACGAGCGTTTTTGACATCTTTAACAAGAGAAAAGCTCAAGTTTAACAAACTGTAGAAAATCAATGTCGATAGATTGTTGAGGTTAATAAAATCTATTATTCTGTATTAAAACTTTATCAATTATTTTCCCGTTGTTCAAATTGAATTTTTTTGCACGAAAAAGCGTTTCGATCGATGCCTCTCGTCCAAAATAAGGTAAAAAAACGTTGATTTACATATGCTGTATCAAATAAAATTTCGTTTTGATTTAATTTCGGTGCGAAAAAAAGGTTTTAATTTGTTGATCGTTTTTGGCTCATTTTTAGAAGAATTTCGAGCCGAGTCTCTTCTCTTGTCACTATATGTATATAGGGAGGTAAAATTTTTTAAACCCCATTTATAATGCATTGTGACACTGAATAAAATAAAAGTAGAACATTTGTTTAAGTAAAATTATATTTTTAACTATCATAGCAACCTCGTTCCCAGGGCTACTCTGCTCGCATTTTTCAAAATCTCTGGGCGCAGAGTAGCCCTGGGAACAAGGTTGCTATCATAGGTTCAAAGTCATTGCTTGGGCTCCCTGTGCTGAATTTGTCTAGTTTGTAGCAATCTCGAGCCCAGAGTCTTCACGGCTAATGTCAGCGGTATGCTGACGCCGGAAAGACTCTGGAGGAATCGACTGGATTTGCGACGCTTTTCCGTTGCAAATTATGCAAATTAGGTCAATTTTGTTTTTGCCGCTTTAGAGCATCAAAATGATAAAAAAGAAGGAGGTTTAGCACACAACTTAGTCAAGAAAAGGTATTTACACCTTTTTTAAAAACAAAAATGTGTGAAAACATGTGTGGTTATGCGAGAAAAGGATGATTTTCTTGACTAACAGGGCGAGCGCGCGCTGGCGACTTGAAAAACCGACTTGAAAACAATGCGCGCTCGCGTCATTTTCAGCCAATCACGAATCGAGAAATAACGCATTCCTCCATAGGCTACCCAACTATTGCTTGAGAGAAGAAAAGAATGAAAAAATTATATCCATCACGTGACCAGTGTTTCATACCTTGTCACAGACTAGTTTGTATCCCGCGAGGCGCGCGATCGTGACGTAATATACCACAGGTAACCCACAGYGMGCGCCGATTCGATAACATAMWATAAAAGCRTGCGCATTCATTCTTTTCTTTCTCTCAAGCAATAGTTGGGTAGCCTATGATTCCTCCAGAGTCTCTCACGCATTGACATCCGCTGGATGGCAAAAGTGCGGGCTCTGGGTACGAGATTGAGTTTGTAGTTTTGAGCCCGCAAGTGTCTCGGGTAACCATCGACATAGATGGATTTGGGCCATTTTTGGGAACACTTTTGTGGATTTTTTGCCCGAAAAAGCGTTTCTCTTGATGCCTCTCGTTCAAAATAAGGTAAAAAACGTTGATTTACATTTGCTGTCTAAGATAAAAKTTCGTTTTGATTTAATTTCGGCGCGAAAAAAGGATTTTTGTCGATCGTTTTTGTCTCAGCCAGTTTTAGGAGATTTCGAGCGGAGTCTCCTCCCTTGTCACTATAATATATATGGAGGGGAATTTTTTAAAACCCACTTATAATACATTGTGGTAATACTAAATAAAATATAAGTAGACCATTTTTAGAAGTAACTAGACGATCAACGANTTAGAAACTGCTGATGATGCTATAAGATATTAGGCAACTAACGTGTGTATCTAAAATCGATAAAAGTAGTACTCAACTACATGTAACAAAAACAATACGGAACCTATGCAATAATTGAAGAATGAGAAAACACAACTTTATCGACTCATCAATGAAGTCAAATATAATATGAACTATCATGTCAGCAAACTGTATAGACTCACAACTTACAGCAGAATACTATGACTTAAGGGAAAGAAATACTGATTACATTGTTTACTCCATTGACGTGTACTTTTGCACCTCTTGTTTTAAGAATGATTTCGCACAGCTTCTCTGGATCAATGTTCTCAATGTTTTCAGTGTCGTTGTTTTCTTTGTTGTACTTTTCAATGATGGGCTCCAATGTTGAGCTGAATAATGAATACCATACCGTTTCTGTATCAGTTTTCTTGACAGAGATGCGAGCTGCTGTTGTTTTTGTGGAGTCCTCGATAAGAAATCTTGAGTTGCAACTTAGGCACTTTAGCATGCTTGATTCTTGCTGAAAGGGAACTCGTTTTTGAGCATGTGAGACAGGTATAGAAGACTGCAATGTCTGCGGTGTGGATGCGAGGTAGGATTATTTCACTTGTCTTCAATGCTTCTTGTGCGTCTTTAATTTCCTCATTAGTTATCTGTGGCACATTTTCAGTGAGCTTCGTAAAGAGGGTTTCTTTGTCTCCAGATAAGTACTTTTCCCCTTTAAATTGTCGTAGACGGATGTTTTCTATGCTATAAAACCCCTCTTCCACTCGTTGAATTTGCTCATTCCATAACGTGATTCTTATCTTACCAGACTTATCTAGAAGCAAGCCTTCTTTTTTGATGAGGTCAGGTTTTGTAGGAATGGACTCTGGTTGGTTTCCACCAAATACAATTAATCCCCGGATAGTAATCGCCTGAAAAATCTGGATCTTTTCGAGATCTTTGGTTGTCACCAGAGCGGCGGTTGGACTGTTGGAACTTGCGTTGAATGAAAAGTCGACTGTGGTCTCAATGGCGTCGTTTATTTGTGTGTTATTATTTATCCAAATCACATTTTGTTCACTTGCAGAAGGTGCAAAGTTTGTCAGTTTGCATGGAGTTGAAGATTCTGCCTTCTGCTCGACATTGCTCTTGTGTTTCTTCGGCGAGAAACAAATGGCTTTAACTGTCCTTTTCTTTTCTTGGATCGAAAAAGAAAAGTATTCTGACCCTTTTGCGCTTTTCTTGACTGGGCTCACGTTGTGCAGATAACCAACAATGGCTGGATCAGTATCGTCTTTAGACGTGATATTTGAAGTTGACGCTGTCGGCGACAAAGTTTTGAATTCATCACTGGCAGAATTCTGTCGAGTAGACATGTTCTTTGTTGCTGAAAATTAAAAGAAATTTATCAATTTAAAATGAAATTAACTTATGGTATTTGTGGCTTTAGTGTAAAAATAAAGGTGTCAAATAGACAGTGAAAATCTGACAACTAAATCGTACCTTTTTGCTTCGACATTTTCGACATCTTGTACCACGCTACCAAACTCATGCAGTGCTTTGGAAAGCATGTGCATGATTCGGCTGTTCTTCGTACATCGCCGGAAGTGAAGGCGGTGTAAGGCAGTGAGGATTCTGTCGATTCTGAATGGTTGTTTATCACTCGGGATTTTTCGCAATTGTTTCGTTAGTCTATCGTTGAGGTGATATCAATCTGCTTCTCTTCCCTACAATCCCCACAAGAGCRGGGGACAGAGGAGGAATTATTTGCGCATTTATAATTTCAGAGCCAGTGTTCTTGTTGTACAGCGGAGAAATGATGTCAATTTCAAAGCAGTTTTACGTTTACGGGGAACAAGTTCATTTTTAGAGTGCAAGTCACATAAGCATGAAACAATTCATAACTATGTAGTGCTAAATAAGATTTAGTTATCAACTAACTAAGAATTGAGAACAATGCTACAAAGGAATTTAAATAATTGGCATTGTGTTTATGCTTTGTTGAATTCTTAGTTAGTTGATAACTAAATCTTATTTAGCAATAAGCTTACATATTAAGAATTGTTTCATGCTTATGTGACGTGCACTCTATCACAGAAATTTWGTTCTTTCAATGTTTTGTCTAACTTTCTAATATTTAGCCGTATGACGACGACTTTCCTTGGTTCACTGACCGTTTTATGTACTTGAGGTAAGTTCGTGTGAAGTAAATGTTTAGCTTACTTTACATTATTAATAATATTAACTTAAGTTTACTTAATTTCATGTAAGCTCAATTTTCTTACATTATACATTAATAAGGGTTACTTAGTTATATTGGATGTATGATACAGTTGAGCTAATGTAGAACTGATTGAAATTTTAACGGCATCATGATCAGAATAATAAATTGGTAATACTGAGCATTTTATAATATTGTAGTGATTTCCTTTTATATAAACATGATCTAGCAGACTGCCAGAAGCTATAAATGTAGGACTTTGCACAATTTGAAGATAGTTTAGAGATTCCATCAAAGTTTCAAGTGGTTTGATTTCATTTTCATTGTAAATGTTCATGTTGAAATCACCAAGTATTATGTCAATGTCATGGTCATTTAATATATCTCTCATGATATTAGTATATTGCAGAGTGCTAAAATTTTTTTTTCTGTAGAGTATTATCATTGATTGTTTTATGTTATTGAAGTGGTTAACAATCACAATTTTAACTGCATTAATGGCTGCAATATATTGATATTCCTTGATTTCAATGTAGTTTTTAGTACACAGTGCTAAACTGGAGAATCTGTCTGAAAAATGATCTTGCCTTATCACTGTGAATGGTTGTAAATTTTGTATTATATTATTGCCATTGGTATTAGGAGAAAGTTGCGTCTCTGTAAGAGCTAAAACATCACTATTAAATACACTGGAATCATATTTGATATCAATACTATGCTTATTTAGAGATCTGATATTATTAAAGTAAAGTGATTACCAAACAGTCTGTTGAATCATTTAGGTTGTGAAAGTTGTGAGGACTACATTCTGCTTCATGAATGGTGAGTTCTGAAATGTCTTTTCTTGACCGTTCATATTCATTATGTACTTTTGTATTTGCTTTTACATGTTTGTGTTCAATTTTTCCAAGTATATTAATACCTTGTAATGTTTTTGCACGACTTAAGGCAACATATATTTGGCCATAGTTGAAGTTTTTTTGTCTATTGAGATCAAAGCTAATTACTACTTTGTCTAAAGTGAGACCTTGTGTTTTATGTACTGTGCAAGCCCATGCTAGTGTCAGTGGGAATTGTGTTCTTTGTATTTCAGGTGAGGATGGCTTATTAGGTCTGACTTTAATCTTTACCAAGGTTGGTTCTATAGGTACTACTCTGTGTTGTTTGGCATATTGATTATTACTGTTATTGATCTTGTTTTCTCCTGCTTTGTTATCATCAAACTTGATGTATATTATTGAAGGTTTTTGAGTGTTCGGATTGGAATCTATTTTGACTACAGTACCAATTTGACCATTGATTRGCCTGTCTGCTATGTCAATATTAGATGTAAGCATTACTCTTGCAGTTTCTTTCAAATGGWATTCATAATCAAGTCCACCTGTCTCAGATCTTCCTCTTGCTAATACTCTATCAATATCTTGTTTGCTCACATTCTTAGGATATTGATCTATTGCTCTCATAATAAAAATTGGTTTAGGTATTTGCTCTAATTTCATTCTGTTGTGTTCGTCTACCGGCTTATTTTCTGCCCATATATGTAAAGCATCTGATGGATAATTAATATCTGTTGGACTAATTTGTCTTGACTGAATAGCATCTATATCTTCATCTGTTTGAGTTCCTGTTCTGAATCTGTTCAACATTGCAGTGAATGCTTGATCATTTTTCTGTCTCATTATTTCTGCCAGGGATGACAAAGATTGAAAGCATCATTTTTATAGTTCTCAAATACAAGTCTTCTACGAATTGGTGGTAACTGATATAAATCCCCAACTGTAATAATACTTATACCAGCAAATAGTTGCGAATTAGTTGTACCAAAGATTTCTTTTAACCTTTGATGAATATGAAGGAGACTTGAATTAGAAACCATTGAGACCTCGTCTACTATTAATAACTTCAAGTCAGATAATGATAATCTTAGTTGTGTTCTTTTTTGGTCTGACATGGCTGGCAAGATATCACCAGTGTTTATAGGTATTGCTAACGCTGTGTTTATTGTTGTGCCATCAATATTTATAGCTGCTACTCCAGTAGGTGCTGTTAGCAATACTGTTGGTTTCTCAGGATTCATTGGTGCATATCTAAATGTCTTTGATACCGTGTGGTAGATTGTTTTAATCAAATGACTTTTTCCTGCCCCTGCACCACCAGTGATAAACAAATATAATGGATCAACTTTTTGTGGCTTTAGGCTGTTCAAACTTTTCATTTTATTTCTACACCATGACAGGACATTGTTATATGCTGTACGTTGCATTTTGTTTAATGATCTAACTGATTGACGTAATTGATCATCAGATATCTCTGATGGTTGATTATAAGTTGCTATTGCTGCAGGTTGACTGGGATTTTCACTAGTTGATGCATTTGTTGCAAAGTGTGATGGTTCTTGCTCATTGAATTCCTCATCTGGTGAAGACTCATTTTGCATATTGTTTAGTTGTAGATCTGCATTTTCCTGATCATTCATTGAATCATATGAATNATTCATAATCAAGTCCACCTGTCTCAGATCTTCCTCTTGCTAATACTCTATCAATATCTTGTTTGCTCACATTCTTAGGATATTGATCTATTGCTCTCATAATAAAAATTGGTTTAGGTATTTGCTCTAATTTCATTCTGTTGTGTTCGTCTACCGGCTTATTTTCTGCCCATATATGTAAAGCATCTGATGGATAATTAATATCTGTTGGACTAATTTGTCTTGACTGAATAGCATCTATATCTTCATCTGTTTGAGTTCCTGTTCTGAATCTGTTCAACATTGCAGTGAATGCTTGATCATTTTTCTGTCTCATTATTTCTGTCAGCTCGATCATTTTGAAGATATGCCAGGGATGACAAAGATTGAAAGCATCATTTTTATAGTTCTCAAATACAAGTCTTCTACGAATTGGTGGTAACTGATATAAATCCCCAACTGTAATAATACTTATACCAGCAAATAGTTGCGAATTAGTTGTACCAAAGATTTCTTTTAACCTTTGATGAATATGAAGGAGACTTGAATTAGAAACCATTGAGACCTCGTCTACTATTAATAACTTCAAGTCAGATAATGATAATCTTAGTTGTGTTCTTTTTTGGTCTGACATGGCTGGCAAGATATCACCAGTGTTTATAGGTATTGCTAACGCTGTGTTTATTGTTGTGCCATCAATATTTATAGCTGCTACTCCAGTAGGTGCTGTTAGCAATACTGTTGGTTTCTCAGGATTCATTGGTGCATATCTAAATGTCTTTGATACCGTGTGGTAGATTGTTTTAATCAAATGACTTTTTCCTGCCCCTGCACCACCAGTGATAAACAAATATAATGGATCAACTTTTTGTGGCTTTAGGCTGTTCAAACTTTTCATTTTATTTCTACACCATGACAGGACATTGTTRWATGCTGTACGTTGCATTTTGTTTAATGATCTAACTGATTGACGTAATTGATCATCAGATATCTCTGATGGTTGATTATAAGTTGCTATTGCTGCAGGTTGACTGGGATTTTCACTAGTTGATGCATTTGTTGCAAAGTGTGATGGTTCTTGCTCATTGAATTCCTCATCTGGTGAAGACTCATTTTGCATATTGTTTAGTTGTAGATCTGCATTTTCCTGATCATTCATTGAATCATATGAATGAAGAACTCTATTTTCATTGCTTCTTAACTGTTCTAGAGCTTCTGCTACTGCGTCTGAGTCTGGCTCAAACAATTGTCTGTTTTCATTTACAATATGTTGTACTCCTGGCTCATAGAATTTAGATGCATATGTATTGTCAATTCCAAGCAGATTACATTCATCTGTCCATGGATAATATAACATAAGCAAATGATGGAAAAACAATTCAGGTTCTTTTGTTTTATTTGGCCTATGATACCTTAKTACTGCTTTGACTCTTCTACGTTTCATGATTTCTTTAGTATTCATCAGTCTGATTCTTTCAGGCAGTAATGCATCATTTGGTTTATTACTAGAGCTATGATTTATTTCAACCAAGTCATCAGTGAGTACTTCTGGCTGTGCATCAATAGTTTCACTATTTTCTTTTCTGTAGTCTTTATAGTAATAGGCTRCAAATTGTGCAAGACAGAGGTTTTCTATAACAGGAATCGAAACTGGTCTAATGCTGTAGCGCTCTATGATGTTAGATTTGAATATATCTGTGCTGTCATCTTCCAAATCATCCAGTTGTTGTTTTGTCTTGGTAATTCGTATGCGCTTTTCTGCTGTGTCAGTACTAACAAAAACTGTTGCAGGAAATATTTTCCTTAACCAGAGCTCTGGCATACATCTATATACACATTCTTGTGAACTGACTTCTCTAGTTGACAGAAATGCTGCACCTATTTTCCTCAGTCCATCTCTAATGTTCATATTATCAGCTTTTGCCTCTTTTGCCGCATTCATTATTGCCTGTGAACATTCTGTTTCATCTTTTGTGAAATATGAACAGATATAAGTTATGCACTTATAGTGATCAAAGACTGGCTGGAGATCAACATTAGCCTTGAATCCTTTGATACCAGCAATAAAATAGTTATTTATAAAGCAACTGTTAACGGGTCGCCTTAAATGCAATTCATAGTTACTGTCTGGTGAAATTGCTAATGCTGAATAATACTGTTCTTCAGTAATACCAACTGAGTTGAAAATGTCTTGCTCAGTAAGTGAAGAATCATAACTTGATTTACTTGGATTTAATAGTTCATCTATTTTYTGTTTTACAGAAACAAGAATTTCCTGTCTTTTCTCTAAAACATTAGCTTTAACAGTCTCATCAAGGTCATYAGAAAGAGGTTCAGCTACAATTGTAGAATGGGTGAAAAACTGGCCAAAATTAAACCTGCACTGAATGTTTTTGTACTTTCTACATGTCTTAGAGTGACTATGTTTTTGGTACATTTTCACTAAGTTATGCAATTCAGTATCTTCTTCTTCATTTGGTAAATATGCCTGTACATGTTTATCTATGTAGTCTATATATGCTTGTTTGTTATCATTGTCTAGTTTTGGACAATCATCACACCATATCAGGGCATGTAGATGTGGACTACCTCGCATTTGAAATTCAATACGAAGGGCATAATAAACTA